CCTGTCCATGTGTCCCTGTGATGGACTGGAGACCTGTCCATGTGTCCTTGTGATGGACTGGAGACCTGTCCATGTGTCCTTGTGATGGACTGGAGACCTGTCCATGTGTCCTTGTGATGGACTGGAGACCTGTCTAGGGTGTACCCCACCTCTCACACAGTGATAGCTGACATGGTCACCAGTGAACCCCGTAACCCGAAAAGGAAGAAGCGGATAAAGATAATGGATGGATGGACGGATGGATGGATGGACAGATGGATGGATGGATGGATGGATGGATGGATGGATGTTATGGGTTTCTTTGGACTTGTGATGACACAGGTGCTTTTTATTAACCTGAATGTTGTTCTAAACAAATCTTTTTGCCTCTGCACTGTAGAATGAACTCTAGGGTTCAGAACTAACATACATTTTATGTTTATTCTACTCCGACCATGACACAGCTCTTATTTTCTTCTTTTGAAGGCTTTCAAGCTAGATATTAATAAAAAAACTACATTTTCTCAAGTCTGTTTTGTGCACAGTTGGTCAAGTTTACCTTTCACACACAACCTGCACAGCTTCATTAACTGGCTGCTTCAGTCAGTGCTGTAAGAAGCTCTGCTAGGCACAAATTGATTCCTCCTCGCGTCACTGTATGTATTTTTTAAAACATGTTCCTTCACTTTGATTTACTGTAAATGAAGTAAACAAATCATCATGTCTCCAAAACGGGGTCTGGTAAATCATGTTACACAATTTTTCAGTACCGTAGATAAATAAGTAAAAAAGCAGCTCCATATGGGGTGAAAGAAAAGCTGTAGTAAGAACATAAAAGTTTGTTGCAAGTATGAACAAGATTATGCAGAAAATTTGTAGGCTCTGTAATCTTCCACAGTGTTTTTATATTTCTGTATAAACACTATTTTATTTCTAAATATGCCGACCTAAATACTGATTACAATACCGAGTTTTGTACTGTGTACATGTATTTGCACTCATTATCTCAGATACCATAAATCCTTTTCACATCCATCTTTTTGCTGTTTTTCTATTTAATTATTTATTTATTATTATTATTATTTTTTTACAGGTATAATGCACCGGGACTTGAAACTTGAAAATATTCTTGTGAAGAATTCTCTTCATGAAGATGACAGCAGGTTTCTTATCAAGGTATTTTAAAGACAGAATGTAAAACTTCTCGTCACCCCAGTTCTCTAAGCCCAGTTTGGACACTTTATTTTAGCTTTTTCATCATTAGTAAAGACTTTAAATACTCCTGCTTTACCAAAGATAAATCTCATCTTCTTTCACCTTCACAATGACTTAAATATCTTTCACCAGTTTATCATATGGGCTCAGCATTCCAAGTGCACTGACAACAAGTAAGCTGCTGCTAAGACTTGGTATGTTAGCCAATTAAAAGTTAGTTCATGATGTAAATATATTAATGGTTAATTATTTAACCGTAAATATATTGCTGTCTTTTTGTGCCTTTTCACTTTTTCCTTTATTTGCACAAACCCAAGCACACAATCCATGCACATGTTGTAAAAAGTCTGCATTATTGACAGCATTTTTTTTATTCAGACACAGCTAATACAGATAGCTTTTATTTATTTAAATAGCTAAGTCTTAATTTATTTGCTCAAGAACCTTTTCTTTTGCAGTGTCATGATAGAGTTCTGCTAACATACTGTATGTAGCCTTAAACAATCTATATGTTGGTGATGCTGTAGGGCTGGAATCAGAACCACTGATCTGTCGCCATGTCTGTTTGTAATTTCTCATTTTAGTGCTGTTCTGTCATTAGGTAGCGGACTTTGGTCTGTCGATCAAGACCAAAGGTGTCGGGATTGAAAACATACAGATGGACGCCTGTGGGACGCTCATCTACATGGGTATGTCATCCATCCACAGTTCCCACTTTACTGTATGTAAGGAGACGACTCAAACAACCACAGGCTCAGAATGATCGTTTTTCACGTTACTTCAAACGTTTAAGTATTAAAGGGTACTTGTTCTTCCAACAAAGTTAAGTCAGGTCCTCTGGACTGTTTCTTTTTGTTGGAATGTTTCATCTTTCATCCAAAAGACTTCATCAGTCTGTGGAGCCACAAACAGTGTCTTCACATAGTGGGTCAATTATATTATATATATATATATATATATATATATATATATATATATATATATAT